TATATGTATCATCTGTCATGTCTATATGTAATTTTAATAGATCAATGCAGTTTTTGAAATTAAAAGGAAAATACTTTATCATGCATTTATTATACAAAACATTCAAGGCAAATAAAACATGACTGAAGTTGCAGGGCCAACTGATATCCTTGGAAATGATTATGAATATGGTAAAACTGTTACACTTTCTTCAATCTAAACATGTTACGAAATTAAACATTTAAAAAAAAGTGCGCAAACTATATAAATGTATTTAGAATTGTGTTTAGGATTTAAACACCATTTATACAGTTTACATGTAGTAAGGATATCGGAAATGTATTTTTTTATGTGTTCATATAGAAATGTAAAAGATGTTATGTCGACGCCACCAATTTGAACGAAAATTCGGGCCGGTCTATCAACATGATTAGATTTTATCCTTCACATATAAAAAAAGTATAACAAAATACCGAACTCCAAGGCAAATTTAAAAAGGGGAAGTCCATAAAAACTAACACTATCAAACGCTATCAATCAACAGAAAAAGTGAAAAAAAACATCTGCCATATAACTTTTATCTAATACAAATATGTTTGAAGAACAATTAAAAATTTCGATAGATGTCTCAGAAGTTCATTTTGACAGTAAGCATTTGGCTAAGACTGCTACCTCATATAGCATGAAACACATAGTTACAATAAAAAAACATACCGCAATAACATTAAAAAAATATCGCATCTACAATAAAGTAAATAGCATTTAATTATTTATTTACAAAAGAAAAACGTAGCAGTACCATTTTTACAAGGATATAAACTTTTGCTTTTACTTTGATATTGAGCATATTTCAAGACTTAATTATCGTTTACATTTAAATGATAGGGTAACAGTTTATATGCTCAAAAAGAAATCTCACCTTGTTGCTCGTTTAACTGGTCCATTTGACCTTTCAATTTTCGATTTCACACTCTATTGATTAATGGTAATACATTAAACTCTTTTGTTTTTCGCGTGAATTAACTTCAAAATGAACGTATTTATATATTTTGATATTTAAAAAAAAATTATTGCAAAAAACATCTTTTTCCTAATGGAGTGTCTGTATATTTACAATTTCATATTAAAAAATATCGCGCACCTTCATAAGAAACGGTTTTCTCGATTCGCACTTTCCATAGACTGCAGTGTATTGTATTGTATGATTTTCTTCTATGTTAAACAGGTCATTACTGTTAAATAGTTCACAAAAAGCAAAGTTCTGATAATATGCACACCTTCAGTATGTTCTGCCAAACAGTCTTGATTTTCAAAAAAAAAAAAAACAAAAACAAAAACAATGCACTATATTCAGAACCGATCACAAGTTATTTCAGTTTAACTTCCCTAAATTCATAGTTCTGACCATGTGTACACCATTAGTATGGGTTAAAGCATTATGAAAATGAAGAACTTCACATGGGTATATACAAAATCTCGACCTTTCATCCCCGGAATACAGATAAAACGTGTGGGGACTCCGCCTAGCTGGGAAATCAGAAATGAGAAATTACACCAATTTTAATTAGATTGTCTCTCGATCAAGTTTTATCTCATTTGCTTCTTGCTTTCGTTTTTATTGGAACTTAGTTTATTGACTCTTCAAATGGTACGTAGCTGTTGATATTGTTTATCCCATATATAACGTAGATAGATACAAGAAGATGTGGTATGAGTGCCAATGAGACAACTTTCCATCCAAGTCACAATTTATAAACGTTATCCATTTTAGGTCAAAGTACGGCCTTCAACACGGAGCCTTGGCTCACACCGAACAGCAAGCTATAAAGGGCCCCAAAAGTGACTAGTGTAAAACCATTCAAATAGGAAAACCAACGGTCTATTCTATATGAAAAACGAGAAACGAAAAACACTTATGTCTAACCTATTTTTAAGAATAAAGTAGCCTTGTAATCCATGTACCTTTGAAGCAGGAACGCGATGATATAGTTTTATTGATATGAATTAAGGTGATGCGTAGATTTCGTCAATATAACGGCAACACAACACAGATAAACTACATCTCGAGATCAGTAGAGGGTTCCTTGAAAAAAGCCACAGGAGTATGAGACACAAGTAAATATACTTGTGAAGTCTTCTCCATATTACAATATACAATGTAAATATATTCAATACTATTAAAATGAGCATGCATGTAAAGCAAACATGAAAATTACGAGAGCTATAGATAAAGAAAAAGAAGAAGCAAAATTGTTCCAACAAACTGTTTCACTTTTTATTTGTCTGATGATGTTTATTTGTGAACATGCATCGTTAATTTTCTATTAAAAAAAAATTTATTTTTACGCGAAAATGGTGAAATAAACAGTTGAATAATTAGGTTGAGGAGCTAATGAATTGGAAACATTTGACGGAATAAAGTATATGTATTAAAAATCATTATCTGTATGAATTTAACACCTACTGTAAATGTAACATAATATTTTCCATATCTTTGGAGTATATGAGATACAAATATATACATATTTCTGTTAGATATTTTTCTACTTTGGAAAGATCTGATGAGTTAAACCAATTTCAACTGATTTTTATAGTTTATTCTTATGTTGTGCTGCAACACCACTGTCCCAGGTTAGGGGGCGGGTTAAGCGCTCACAAACATGTTTTACTCCACTACATTGTTATGTGCCTGTCCCAAGTCAGAAGCATGTAGTTCAGTGGTTGTCGTTGGTTCATGTCTGTCATATTTGTTCTTCGTTAATTGTTTTGTTATAAATTAGGCCGTTAGCTTTCTCAATTGAATTGTTTCAGACTGTTCATGCCGGGGCCTTTTAAATCCGACTATACGGTATGGGGTTTTCTCGTTGTTGAAGGCTTATAGTGGCCCATAATTGATTACATCCACTTCATTTGAACTTTGGTGGATAGTTTTCTCATTGGCTATCAAACCACATTTTTCTTATTTTTATATATACGTATGTGTACTGGCAGCTTTAAAATCATATATGTGTTGAACGATTGATTTTCATATTTGCTTCCCATGATTGATTTAACAAACAAAATTATAAACGCCCGTCGGGTTTTATAAATAAAAATACAACACTATGCGGAAATATAACAAATAATTATAAAAAAACATGTATACTGTATTAAACTGATGATTCGTGCGTAAAATTTTCACCAACAGTCTGCATTATTTTTGTCAAGTAGGCATTGAGTAATACTAGTACATGGCTTTAATATAGTTGATTAAACGCATTTCTATAGAACGCCACAGTTATTTTATTTGGCGCCGTTTGAAAAGTCAAAGGTGTCTTAATTCCAACTTTGCAATTATTAAATTGTATGTATGTACATTGTAATTTTGAAATTCCAACTTTGCAACTCTTAACTTTTAACGACCCAACTCGCCAATTGAACTAAGTCTTTTGATAATTGCAACTCTGTAAATTCGTAATTAAAAATTCTGATTTTAATTTTCCGTACCTACGTGCAACATGGTAAACTTTTGTTTTTTGTAATTTTGTCAATTTGTGAAATGTATTGATCTGTAACAGTAATCATAATAAAAAATATAACACAAGGTGCAATACTTCAAAAAAACATAGGACGTTATATCCGGTGTCATGTTAAAAAGGGATTAAAAAGATATTTCCTTGGATTTTAGAGTTGTAGGAAATTGACCCTTCATTACATTGCAGAACAATTTTTCATAGTCATACACATACTATCATTATGTTGTGTGTGTCTATCAACGCATCATTCTTTGTTTTTTAATTTGGTGTTCATTTAAAATATTTTGGAAACTTTGGGTGACATGTTAATTAAAGCTAGTAAATAGGAAAAGATGGGATATAAAGTTGTTTGGTTTACTTCCGGCGATTGCATTTTGCTTGTATGCAATGAAATATGTGAAATTTTCACAGTAAATCTGGACATGATAAAACTTTACTCATGCCAAGTATTAATTTATTTGTATCAAAGATAAATTCTGCACAAATGTTTGAAAAATGCCAATTAAATAAAGACTAAAAAGTGGGAAATAATGGTGGTATTACACCACAACGACCGGTTTATTCACGTCAGCTAAATATCGACTTACAAGTATACACTTTTCAAACGTATGGGAAAAAATAAATAGGTGAGCATTAAAGAATTATCGTAAAGATTTTTTACGTTTTGAGCTATTCTACGAGAGTGCCAAATATATGTCCAATTTCATAGACCTCCATGAAGACGTATTGTGAAAATGTTCAGCAAGATTTTCTGACGTAAGCTTTTGTACATATACGTTATTATGATAACATTCGTAAAGAATTTTAAAGTAAAGCCCACCCCCTTCTTGTGCAATCAAGCTATATTTAAAATACACAGTGTAGTGTTTAATGCAAGAATATTTAATAAAATGTGTCATATAGTAGAGTGATATAATATTTGTCTAGATTTGAATTTATACATTTTATTATTTAATTATATATTAAAAAAAGTAACATGTGCATACATATGGTTTTAAAAGGTGTTAAACAAGTCAGCATTCATGGCTAGGCATATATTGCATTAACTTATAATGTATTTGTATAATGTATGAGGTATTTTAATCGATGCTTCACACACAACTTACACAAATTCTATTATTTTAAGCTGATTACTGGCAACTGGTATAAACATAAGTAAATTGCGACATTTCAATTTCTAGTCGGCTTGAGATACATGTAAGTAGTCAAACTATATTTTACTCAAACTTGTGAAAACCAAATACGGATCCAATTCTATCATATAACTAAATCCTGTTTTTGAAAATGTATACGGAATGAAAGCAAGTGACCTTCTGATTTGGCTATATGAATAATGCTCAGATATTTTTTGTGAATGAAAAAAAAAGACTTTTCGTGAAGAGTTCATACAGGATATCATGTTGCTCAAGAAAGACAAAATGTGTGTAAAATGTTTAGTATTCGAGATTTGACTTTATATTTCGTATTTCACCTGTTTTTTAGCCTCGTACTAATACAGCTGATATTTAAAACACTTAACACTCCGTCTTATTGTCTATATCTCTGCGTGGCTTGACGGGGATAGTTGTAACATTTTGATTTAAATACATATATATAGAGATGTAAATGCTTCATATTCTCGTTGGTAAGCTATTCTATAGAATTGCAGACCTGTAAGTATAAGATTTTTTCATCATATTCGTGTTTGGTCGAACAACCGTTATATTTTATAAAAAAGTCTCAGATCTTAAATTTCTTTCATACATTTCAGAGCTCTGAACACACAACGTTTTCATATACTTAGGAGTTTTATCGTGTAAAATTTTATACACTAGAACTATTACATGATATAAATTTTGTCTCGGAAAATTAACCAATTTAATCTGTCATAACGTTCTCTCGATAGTGTAAAAAAATTACTCTAGCTGCTCTTTTTGAGTTTTATGTATCTCTGGAGGTATATTTCATTACAATAACCCCATACTTTGCAACAGCAGTCAAATATCGGTAGAGTATAAAATTTATAAATTAATCTTTTACTTTTGTGGTCTAAGTATTTCTTGATTTTTGCAAAAAAAATGAATAACCTTTATTTTATAGTTTTAAAGTTTGTCAGTGTCATTGAATGTGCGGTTACGCACTACCTACTACATATAAAAAGGGAGGATTTCTGTTTTCTTATTTGTTTTAAGTATGAAATTTTTGAAAAAAAAACACAAATATTACTATTTTCTTTCGTGAGATGTTATATTGTCTACATCCGTTCTAGATTAGTAGAGAAATAAGTAAAAAAAAAAATACAATGTGCACAATTTAATGAGAAATCAAATGAATTCGATGAAAGGTTAACTCTACTTATAATTTTGTCGTTGTCGTGTACATGTATATTAATTTATTTCTTCAATATTCTGAACGAATGTAGAAAATATAACATCTCACAATCGAAAATAGTAATGCCATTGTGTCGAACTCGGTTGTGTCGAAAACTCGGACGAGTCAAAGTAATTTCTCGGTCACGGTAAAATTCCAATTTGATCAATGCATGTTTACCACTGAATGTCGAACTCGGTTGACTTGAATTCTCGGTTAAGTCGAGTAATCTTATAGTACCGTCGATGTAAAATTAATGTGAATTGACCCCAATGTCTCGAAGTTCGAAAGTAAAAGACTTCGAAAGATGCGGACTTAAAGATAAACATTCAAATTGGATATTTTTCTTATGTAGCCTAATCGTTTTCATAAAGGAATAAAGCTGTAAAATAATAATTTTCCGCGGTTCGAAGTATAGAGGAAAATTATTGTACTAACGGTTCTTTCATATATACATGTATGGACACGTGATCCTAACTGTAGTATCACGTGACTGGTCATTTTCGCGGACTAATTTCCCTATTAGACCATTCTCCCGCCAACTTCGAACTGGTTATTTCTAATATTATGTTGACTCATATTATTGTTTGCGTTTTCATATTTTGTACTATATAAGTATATGTTTTACCAGTATACATTTTTGTTGTATTTTGTTTATGTAAAAATAAGCCAATTTTCAGTGCTGTCCAATGTACATCTCTCGAGACGATCTTCCGAGCATTAGGGTCAAATGCGTTTTGTTAAAATATACTTTTTTCACTTTTTTGGTCTTTTGGAAAATGTTGTTTGTGCTGTATTTAGACCCATTTACAAAGAAATTTGTTTTGCATGCACACGTATAAAAATTGCGGTTTTTATCCAACGCAATCATAGGTTTGAACGTTGTTTTCCATTTAGACTTGTATATATATATTGTTTTGATGAAATTAGTATGTGTACTAAAAATAATAATAATATAATAAAATCCGGTGTCCTTCTAGTCTTGTGGGCGATCGGCAATTGTAATATGTATTTGAGATATTTTTGCCATATATATTAGTATAGTGTGTTCACATACCTGTTAGTATAACAGTAAAAATTACATGTTTATATGTACCGGTGATTAACACCTTTGTTGCTCGTCCAAGCGTAACTTTGTGTGTTGAACATATTTTACCCGATATAAAAACTTAACAAACTTAAATGATTTAAGTAGAGGTTAAATGAATCAGAATTTACAATAATTGAATGCAAAACAGACGACCTTCGTTACAGATCTTTCAGAACTTGTTTCATTCAGCGAGTGATTCCATAATTTATAGTGACTGACCTTTGTAAATATTTGTGTATTGATTTTATTTCTGTATGTTTTGTACTTGTACTTTTGTATTTAATTCTTATGATGGACCAAAAATATGGAGATTGAATACACTATTATGAATTGTCATATCAAAGAAAGACAAACTGTTTAAGGTTCATCATAACAAATGGACAAAAATGGCTGTATTTCCACCTCAAAAACTACTCTGAGTACAGACTAACCTGTGCAGTTGGAAAAGTTTTAATGCCTGGCATCTACTAGATATATAAAAATTAAATGCATTTTGAGTTTCAGAAAGATAAAATCTTTTTTGGATTTTGATGGGCATTTTTTTTTCATTCCTGCGGAATGTGTAAAAATAAAATAAGTTGGGATACAACTTTGGGATGCTCCCTCTCAGGTAAAACGTATTGATTGTCCATGATTGGCATAGACAATAGATATCTACACAACTATAGGTGAGTTAAAGGGTTTAACTGAGTGGGCAGTATCAAAGCAATTCAGGTGTTTGTTGATTTTTACACCTTCTGCAGAAAGGAACAAAAATGCCCATCAAAATCCAAAAAAGATTATATCTTTCTGAAACACAAAATGCATTTACCTTTTATATATCTAGTGGATGCCAGGCCTTAAAACTTTTCCAACTGGACAGGTAAGTCTGTACTTAGAGTAGTTTTTGGGGTGTAAATACGGCTATTTTTGTCCATTTGTTATGATGAACCTTAAAATATCAAGTTTACACAAATCTCATATCGTATTTCAAGCATTCCAAATTTATGAAGACGCACTCGACCTTAGATGAGTCAAACCTCGGATAATGTCGAATACTTTCGTCAGGTCCCTTTGACTTTGACTTAACGAGGTTCGACTTTGAATTTTATACAAATAACAATTTAAAGAACATAAACCCTCTGTTTTGTATGTACAATGTATGTAGGTGGTCCGCCAACGTACTGGATATTACTATCGAGTCCAAACATGTTTTTGCCGGGGCACTCAAGACACAGATTATAATTATGTACATTCTGTAGTAGAGAATTGATAAGAAGTAGTGGATTCGTAAACGATAATCAACGAGCGACTTTAGTCGCAAGTTGATTATCGTTTCCGAATCCACTACTTCTTATCAATTCTCTAGCTTAACCCATTTCTATTAAAACGACTGTCTGTTTTACGTTTTGACAATGAATCAACGATATTTCATAAAAATAGTTTAGTATTTTGTCTTTTTTATTCTATAATAGCTGGAAATGATTATATCCACACGGTTCGCATCTATAATTAGACATTTGACAAGTTAACATAAGTTTAAGATAACTTAAATGGGGTGTTAGCTCCCCTTTTTAACACCAGATTTTAGTTTTGTATATACATATTTCATTTAATGTTTAATCATTACAAATTATTTATATTGAATAGATTTTGGTATATTTAATTTATTCAAAAAGACATGTATTAATATACAGAATTTATTTATCTTGTTTTGAAAAGTTAAAAAATTTTAATTACCAAAATTTAGAACCTTCAAAATTTATATATATAATATTTAGCAACATGTTTTGGTTAATTGAAGACTAAACACCGTTAAGCCGTTCTTAGTCCAAAAAATATTGATAAGGTAGATGCCATAAATCTGCCATTTCATAATGCTCAAATTCATGTTGCTTTCCTAAAGTATTAAAATTACGATTGTGCTTACGATTTAAATTGAACAATTATATTCAAATCTGTTTAAACTGTTTCCGTTTCATTAAGTTACGATTATTTTAACGTTATAATTTCATTTGGCATATATCGTTCACCGGTAAATAAACTAGTTTTATCTGAGGTACGCATTCTGAATCCCCATCAGAATTGCTCTTGCTCCGGATGTACAATGAATAATTATCTTGATTTCATAAACTTACCATCAAGCTGTTCATAGCTGTGATCGTCTAGTCGTTGGTAACGAATGTCATAACGGTGATATTAACAGTGCAAAGTTCGAACCTTGTATCCGGAATGAAATTTTTTCATTGTAATTTTTTTCTCGATAAAAATAGTTTTAATCTTAGAGGTATTATATACTTCATTTTCATGTAAAGGCGATGATTTTGTTTCTGGTTTTACAGTCAAAGAAGTAGTTTTACGGTCGTAGCTTATATATCACACTTTACTCAAATTAGAGTCCGTTCAATGTTGACGTGATATAAATAAATTTGAAAAGAACATGAACAAATCCAGACATAGTATATATATTTTGTTAGATAACAAAAGCGAATTATCTCTGAGATAGAAATACAGTTTATTGACATGTATTGACAGTTGTGCGCTTTAAGAGTGTTATTTAAATAATGATTTATATGAGCACTCATGGTATAGTGGTATCATGCATAGACTGAAGACTCTACTGATTATGAAGAAAATACGCGCGAGTTCGAACCCTTCATATGCCACTCGTTTTTGAGAGGATAAAAAAGTTTAAAGTTATAAAATAAGTTATCTTAAGTTAACGAAGTAGTCAGTGGATTCTTGAAAAATAATCCACTGTAAGAACAATAGAATGACGTCAGAGAAATGGGTTAAAGATCTATATATAAAATACAATACATTTTGTCAAATTTTATTATTATGTTCTTTTAAAAGGTACATTGTAGAACGAATATAAAAATGGAAAACGTAAGATTACTGAAGTTGACGTTATTTATCGGTGCACTAATAATAGCGGAATCTGACGCAGGTTTGTTTTAACTAACCACAATTTGATGATAATCAAGTATTTTTGAATTGATCTTTTTGAATTGAGTCGAATTAGTTATAATCGGACACACAGGTACAATTACAGTGATTGATGGCACATAATATCAAAAACTATATATATATTTGTTTTGCATGCACACGTATAAAAATTGCGGGTTTTATCCAACGTAATCTTAGGTTTGAACGTTGTTTTCAATTTAGACTGGTTATAATAAAAATTAAAAAAAAATAGATCAGAAATGTAGGTTTTGCAAATTGGGTAGTCTGTGATAGAGGAGGAAAAAAGCGCGACTGTTAACCTAAAGAATGCTTACTTACAATTCATGTGCTTTCTAGCGGATAGTTGAGACAACTATCCATCAAAGACTACATGCAGTTGGCAATTATACCACATTTCCTTATCTTTATAAATTGAGTATGGACACACATTTTGCCTCGACACAAAACAAATATGGATACCTAACGAATTGTTGAGAGGGGTCTAAAACATGCTGTGAGCATTGAAGAGTTTGAATTTAGCATCCCTATTCCTATTGGATATTACTGTATATCTAAAAATCATAACGAGATCCTCTCAGATTATCTCTTGGACCGAAAAGTCAAGGTCACAATATTTCTATATCATTGTCGACACTTGGGATGTTCACGGACAGACATACATAGTGTATCTTCCGTTAGAAATAAGGTAAAACCGATAATTACTATATAGTATTAATTATCTTCCGTCACGAGACGAATAGTTATTATCTACATGGATATTTCTATTATATGTATCCGTGGCATTACATTTACCAAAATAGTATACTCTTAACAAAAAAGAACATTTTTACTCCAAAAGTTTATTCTGTGTACTTCAAATCAACTATTTACAGCATAGCTGTGGTGTATTTAGTTAAAATTTCACAAAACGAACAGAGATATGAAAACACAGTTACATATGATAAGATTGGTCACTTTCCGGTGACGTTGAAGTCAGTAAATGTTGTTACCTCCAAGTGCGGCTAACACTGTTCTGCATCTCTTTGACATAGTTCGAATTCAATTCTACGTTCGGACCGGTAATTATGGTATCCTTTGCATGCCTCTCATATTGAATTAAATTCGGCACCAGTCCATACTCTCAATGTTTGACACCAACGAACATGTGCACGACTGTGAATCTGGGTTAAAATTGATCCAACAGAAGGCCTTCTTTATAAAATCCGCTTTTGCGAAGCCTGTTATTGATTGTCTGAGTGGATATTCTTCACAAACTTTGGATACCAGCAACAGTGATTCTAGCATTGACTGTTCCAAACGGGCGAAAATGTCAGAAATATTTACATACATAGGCTAAACAGAGCTGCGATCAACAACTGATCAGTTTTAATTTGATTAAAAGAAAAACAAAATTTCCCTTTTGGTATTCTTCTTTTATTTTGTTTTTACTCAAAAATTAGTATTCATCATAATGTATTGCACAACAAGCATTAATTTGTGCTGCTATCGTTCATACTATTCCAGGAGACCTGCTTTGTGTGTTTCGTTTCTTAAACTACCAGATTAAATCAACGAATTACTCTGTGCCTTAACACTTTCATGCACAGTGTAAAATGCTCGCACTTACTAATCTAGTTAGGATTAATAAGAGAATGGTTGCTTTTGTGGGGTTGGGATTGATTGGGGTGTGGTAGTGGAAGAAATTATAGATTAAATGTTCTTCCCATCATCCAATTCGGTATTCTAATTTCTTATGTAAGCACATGGGCACAAGATAGGATGAAAAAAAAATCAGAACAATGCGCAACATTATACCTATAAATAGATTTAGATTTTACTTAAAACCAGACAAAATTAAAACAGCAACGCACCAAAACATACCTTATCAAGAAAATCTATCTGGACATAGACGAAACCAAACTTTTCAGGCAACAACACACCACAACGTTTTGAATCTAAGGCTATTGAGACCACGAAAAACAGAATAAAACAATTAAATTTGACGTAATCGTTCACCTACGTCATTGAAATCGAGCAATTGCTGCATAAGCTTACATTGCAAATTTTGAAGGAAAATATCCCATTCACATTGCCTTCTATAGCTAGCTAATTGGTACAATTGTTGCAGGTGATAAAAGAACAATTGCAACTTTATATAAGTACAGTTAGGAAAAAAAGCAAATAAAACAATTATATTGCTGTAAATAATATATAATGTTTACAGGCGATTACAGAATATTTACATTTATATTTTTGAAACTCTACCTTTATATTTTTTTCAGCGGTGTGTGGAGGTAGGATGTATGATACACGGTTCGCTACATGTTGTGGAGGCGTCATTAATAATGGTAGTGGTTTAGCATGTTGTGGAACTAGAGCGTATGACAGTCGTTTTTCAACCTGTTGCGAGAGAGTGTTGCGTAGTGGTAGTGGATTGGCTTGCTGTGGAACTACAGCGTATGATAGCCGTTTTTCAACCTGTTGCCAGAGAGTGTTGAATAGTGGTAGTGGGTTGGCATGCTGTGGAACAAGAGCTTACGACTCGCGATTCCGTAATTGTTGTAATGGACAGCTTTGTTGAGTTGTTTATAGTTTTGATTTTACATTTTTTGCTTTGTTACCTTCAAATTTGACATACGAAATAATGAAAATTTGTGTATTTTTATATAAGCCAACGTATATATGATACTAGACTCTTACCTCCAAATTGATTAGTAAATTTTTAAAAGAATTTCGATGGTCATTGTGCTTTTACTATGTGCTCTTTCAAACCTAATCATCACTGTCATTTAACCAATAGATTAAGTAGCTACATGTCCATGTTTAAACTATTAAACATATTGGGAATAGTGAAAGGATAATCTCTATTCTTATTTCCTATAAAATCATGTATTTAGCATCCATATGATTTTTAAGAAAAAAGTCAGAATGCGAATATATATGTTTAAACTCTTTAAGGTCATTTTTTAGTAACAACAAACAAAAGAACTATGTCAATTGGACCTGCTTTACTATTATAACTGCCCTTGAATTTTTACTTGTTAACATTTTTGTTCGCTATGGAGATTCCGTATATCGTGAAGTTATCGGAATTCCAATGGGGACTAACTGTGCACAACTTATTGCGGACCTGTTTCTGTATTGTTATGAGTTACAATTTATGACTAAAATCAGCAACGACTCATCGAAACAACATTTGATACAAAAAATTAATAACACTTTTTGATATTTGGATGATATATTAACCCTCAATAATGACGACTTCAGTATGTACACTAAAGAGATTTATCCTGCTGAACTACTTTAAATAAAGCTAAAACTAACAATGAGCACTGCCCTTTCCTGGATCTTGATATCTATATCGTAAACGGGAAGCTTAATACCAAAATTTATGATAAAAGAGATGATGTTTCATTTCCTATTGTTAATTATCCATTTTGAAATGGTGACGTTCCCTTGTCACGATCTTATGGTGTTTATATATACATACTTGTTCGATTAGCTCGTGTATATAGCAACGTATTTGATTTTAACGAAAGAAATCTCTGTATTACAATTACTACACCAGGTATGTTCTCATATATTTTATGATGGTATGATACTAAACCCCTAACGGGAGGGATTGTGCTTGATTTTCATATGATGTAGACATAATATTTCAATTAGTTTGATTGAGGTCTGGAGTTGGCATGTCAGTAACTGCTAGTAGTCCTTTGTTAATTTATGTATCTTTGTCATTTTGCTTAGTTTCTTTTGTTACTTATTCTGACATCGGACTCGGACTTCTTTTAAACTGAGTTTTATTGTGCGTATTGCTGTGTGTTTGTTTATTTTACATTGGCTAGAGGTATAGGGGAAGGGTAGAGATCTCACAAAACATGTTTAACCCCGCTGCATTTTTGCGCCTGTCCCAAGTCAGGAGCCTCTGGCCTTTGTTAGTCTTGAATGTTTTTTGAATTTAGTTCATTTATATGTTTTGGAGTTTAGTATGACGTCCATTTTCACTGAACTAGTACATATTTTTGTTTAGGGGCCAGCTGAAGCCTGCCTCCTGGTGCGGGATTTTCTCGCTGTGTTAAAGACCAATTGTTGGCCTTCTGCTGTTTTCTGCTCTTCGGTCGTGTTGTTGTCTTTTTGACACATTTTCCATTTCCATTCTCAATTTTATATGTGTTTGAAAATTAAAGCATATTCAATTTGAAAAGCCACGAGAAAGAATTTTGTTGATATATTTATTTACAATTTAAATGGTCATGTATTAGTTAGTGATAGTTATATGCTTATAAGAGGTACGATAGATACCAGAGGGACAGTCAAACTCATAGATCGAAAACAAACTGACAACGCCATGGCCAAAAATATAAAGACAAGCAGACAAATAATAGTACAGATGACACAACATAGAAAACTAAAGACTAAGCAACACGAACCCCACCAAAAACTAGGGGTGATCTCAGGTGCTCCGGAAGGGTAAGCAGATCCTGCTCCACATGTGGCACCCGTCGTCTTGCTTATGTTATTACAAATTCGGTAAGTAGTCTAATTCGGTAGGTCACATTCGTGAAAAGGGAAGGGTATTGTAGTTACGACGTAAGGAACATATCCGATATCATCTGTGATACGGTTATTCCATAACGGGATGATTTCAACTTCATCATTTGGAACTCTTGGTTTAATAGCTTCCTTGTGAGCAGCAATCCTCTACCAAGGAAATCATGATAGGAAATACAAGCCCGGGAATTTCGTATCAATTGGGAGATATATACTCCATATGCAGGCGCTGCTGGAATGTTGCTACATAAAAATGGAAAGTTCACAATTTCGGAAGCTGAAATCATCTCTTTTGTCGTAAAGTTTTGTTTTCAACCGACCCTCATTGTCAATTTTTAGATGTAAGTCAAGATATGAGGCAGACTTAACTATATCTGTAGTATCCTTTATCTCTAGTTCGATGGGATAGATTCGTTCAACAAAGTCACAAAATTTTGTATTATTTAGTGAGAGAACATCATCTATATAGCGGAACGTAAAGTTAAAGGATATTGCTAACTTCTAATCTTTCTTCCTTAGAAGTTCCTGTATGAAGCCAGCCTCATAATAATAAAGAAACAAGTCGGCAAGAAGAGGGGCACAATTGGTTCCCATTGGAATTCCGACCGTCTGTTGAAAAACACTCCTCCAAACGTAACAAATATGTTGTCAATCAAAATATCAAGCATCTTGATAATGTCAGTTTCAGAGAATTTTTTGTTTGAATCAGAGTTATTCTTTACAAAGTAGGATTTATCCCTCCCCAAGACAAGATACTTGTATCTACGTTCGCCATTCTTGTTAATGAAACTTAGTAATACCAAATCTTTCAATTTGTCTTCTAGTTTGGAATGGGGAATACTTGTGTAAAGTGTAGAAAAGTCAAATGTTTTAATACTATTGCAAGATGAGAGAGTCTTAACTTACACTGGCATATAGTTCTAGACTATTTAAGTTGACAATCTTGTGACATCTCAAATACACAGATTACTGAAGAGTTAGGCAGTGAAAAAGACGCAGAGATTGAAATTGTATTCGTAGATGAAAGTGGACAGTTTCAAATACCAAAGCTAGGGGTAAGACACTGGCAGTTTCAAGTTTTGAAATCAGGGATTAATAATTATAATAATAATCAAAAACCAATTGTTCAGAAATCAATTGAAGGTCTTCCGACATTAATTTTAAGAATAATCGACAAGAAGCTATTTCCGGTTTTCTCAAAGTTACAGTTGACGTCCAATCAAAAGTTTCTTCATGCTGATTTGAAAAATATGTTGTTTATATTTATTTTAGCTTTAAATAACGGAGATCATGCTAAACGTCCGGTTTATAAATTCCATTTTTGGTCTCATCTAATATCTATATTTACACCAATTCCAAAAATATATGGGTTTTTGTCCGTAATAAGGGAGAAAAATATCTACTTCCGGTTTATTAAAGATCACTTTCCATCTCAAATGATAGGTTTATGTATGCCAATTAAAAAAATAATGGTTTTTAGGTCCCTTTCCATGAATAAAGTTCAGTTTACTCAAGGTCTCTTCCACTTAATATATGTGAAATGTCACCCAACATTTTGCAAAAGACCTTTTGACTTTATCATGTACCAAGTTGAAGTAATAATCAATTAACCTCAAATTGAAACATTTCAGGGGAAATAACTAATAAAAGATGTAATTAGATAGTTCAAACCAAATGTAATATATCTTCATTACAATAAAGAAAACATTTTGTACTATTTCTTTTATATATTTCTATAAAAATGTTTAAAGGGTAGATCGCAAATCACGCAAACGTCTAAATTAAGAACAAAATTCATGACCTTTACATTCGACCTTGAGATCACTTTGTTAGAAACAAAGAAATATTTATGAGCGTCCTGTATCCAGGTAACATGCTAACCAATCAAAATAAAGAATATTCGGAATAACTTCTTCCAAGTAATATGTAAACAGTGATTCACGTGGTAATAATCATTTTTTAAAACTAAAAAAAATCCCAATTATATCTGTTTTATTTCAACTGCAAAAATCTAAGCTATATCTTTCAAAACCAATACTCACTGCAAGAAAAACAAATTGACAGAAAAAGAAAAAAATAACAATCATAACAAAATCCATCTATATACTAGGTATTTCCACGAAAACACACGTTTGGACCATATTTTTTGAAGTTATGAGTTTGCGTGAGTTGTCAACGTTTTTCGCTTTTTTAATCCGATCAGAAAAAAGGTAGGTAAAGTATTACACTTAATATCTTTCTTACACATTTATATATATTTTTTAAAATCCTTAACTCGACTTTTGAAAAGATGTGAAATACTACATAATATGGCACTCACCTTGTCTGTCCGTCCGTCCATCCGTCCTTATATTCGTCTAACATTATATTCTTCCAAACTTCTTTATGATCTGCTGTACATAATGACTTCATATTTGGCCAACAAAATGAGGGCAACGAGTTCAAACTAGGAGGGAATTGTCGGACATCTGCCTTCTGTTTTTCGATACATTGATTTTTTTTCTCAATATATTTGACGAACTTGAAATAATTGTTACTTTTACACTGTGAACATAGCCTTCAATTAGTTTTACCTAGAAAAAAACCCACTATGGATTCAGTAAAAACAAATTGGTAGGTGGCATGGTCTGTTGCAAGGTAAAAAGATTTTCCCTATCCAATATAATCTTATTATCCAATGGCAGTCCAAGTTTTCTACGATCTTCATAACGGATGGCTTCTCTTACAAGAATAACCTATAATTGTATTTATAGTGAATTTGTTCTCATCCTGAACATGCATGAAATATTTGCCATTTGACTTTAAGCATATAACAATCAATCAATCCAACATTTCCAAAATTCTTTTTTCGCCTATTGTTACACTGTTTTAGCCTGCATAATCGTGACATCGTTAGAATCTCAAAGTTCTCCAAATCAATGGAACGATTTTCTCAAGGTACCAACCATTTATCTTCGTGGGACAAACCACCTTGCATTACTGTGATATATAAAAACATAAAAATATTTTTTTTCTTCAGTAATATACAAGAACATTTTTTAAACTACATGTTGAATCCCCCCGCAGTTCATTTTTGATAAAATCAAACGATTTTTCTCACTTCCCTCCAGAAACAAATATATTTTTGTTCGAAAAAAAAATGAAATTTAAACAATTTGTCTATTAAACAGGTTTACAGTA